TTCACACCATAGACAATTGCCTTCAGATGACCCCAAAGACAAAAGTCAATGGGCAGCACATTGAACACATTTTATAAGTGGTCAGAAACTTGTAAATAACTCATGAAAGAATAAAGTTACGTTGAAACCAAGCACACCATTGTTTTTCTTGTGACATTACCAATAAGTTTGATGTGTCACATGGCCGTCTTCCTATTGAAAAAACAAAAGTTGTATCCAAGATGGCCGACTTCTAAATGGCCACCATGGTCACCGCCCATCTTGAGGAGTTTGCCCCCCTCACATATACTAATGTGCCACAAACAGGACTTTAATATCACCAACCATTCCCATGTTATTACGCCGTATCCATATAAATGGCCCACCCTGTACTGATTGTAAAAAGTAACTTGTATTGATGCAAAGCAGCTTTCCCAACTTTTATTTATCCTTTGGTTTTTTATGTAATAAATTGTGGGAAGCAAAGAAAGAAGAAAGGAAGCCTGCGGTGTTGCTAAATCTTTCCCAGATATTCTCTGAAATGAGCGGTCACAGGGTGCTCAGCTCAGCCCATTACCTTCTTGTGCTTGGCCCTAGAGAAATGCTTCATCACGTGTCTCTTTCTGTCTCCTTCTCTGCCATCTTAACCATGTGCTGCCTCCTAGAGATGCTAAAGACGAGGTTCTCCGACCCAGTAATCATCATTCCCAGGATGCTGCTGGAGGAGAACCACAACCACCGCTGGATAGACCCGGACCTCGGAGAGGTGGCGGCGTCGTACGCTTTGCCCTAGATATGAACCAGACTGAGTAATTCTGCCAGGACTGAGGCAGATACATCTTTATGCAGAGACTGCTGCTCTGTACTGTAAATATCTAGTATTTAAGTTGGACTAGAAAGAAAGAGGTGAATCTCACCAAACAACAAAAAAATTATTAATACAAATAAAAATACATTGCTATCCAGGAGGATTTCCACGTAATTGAGACACGCATGTTTGAAACAGCTTCAGAGGTTCCAGCTGTTTGACCCACGGCATTATTGCAAAGGTGCTACATTATTATTATTATTATCAATATTTTGGTTTCATGCATTTTGTTTTAGGTCAGTCTATTAGTATCAATACCACACCATAAAGTGCTCAACAGCTACAAAATACTGTACTGTATATTGATGGGTTTTAGTGTAAATAAATCAGCAGAACTTGCAGATGGGCTTTATTGCATTAGAAGGTCTGAAGTAAAGAAGTATGCAGCATGTAAGCAAGGACACTTGAATCTGAAATGAGGCCCTGGGACCACGAGGCTGCAGCAGATAATAAAGGCACAAAGTTGAATTAATAAATGAATTTCAAAGTGAAAAAACAAACATATTTGTGTCTGTGAAGGTTCTCAGTCATCCAGGTCATCATAGTCAAAGGAGCTTGCAAAGAAAAGCGTCTGGACTTCTTTAAGTTGCTTGAAGACGTTTCACCTCTCATCCGAGAAGCTTCTTCAGGAAAAAAGAAGG